GGGGAATGGGGCTGGGAGGGAGTATAGAAGTAGAGTTAATAGCATTGATTAAAGGGGGGAGTAGGATACATTAAAATAATAATAGATTATTTATATGTATAACTGAGTTAATTATATTGATATAATTTGAATTGTATAAGTACGATTTTGTTTTGATTAATTGATGGCCTTGCCACCATGTTAAATAAAAACCAATAAACATTTTGTTTTAAAAAAATAAATAAATATGAATCAGTTGCCAAGCATCCAAATGTAAATCACATGACCCTGGGGATGCTGCAACGGTCATAAGTGTGAAAAATGGTTATGTCACTTTTTTCAGTGCCGTTTTAACTTTGAACAGTCACTAAGCGAACTGTTGTAAGTCAAGGACTACCTGTACTTTATCACTTTTTTTCTTTTTTGGGGGTCGAGTTTTGACACCTTGCTAGGCGACTGGTGGTACTTGAATATTGCCATATCCTAAAACTGGTACAATGGGTGAAAAGGTTGAAAAGCCCTGGTATAAAACACTAGTACTCTCACTTCCTGTGATCTTGATGCAACCTAGGACTTTGTTGCCTTTTTCACAGCTGCAATACACTGCTGGCTCAAATGATGGTCTACTAGGACACCAAGATCCCTCCCAGTTACTGCTGTTGAGCCAGGTACCACCTATTCTGTACCTGTGCATTTGGCTTTTCCTACCTAAGTATCAAACCTCTCTTTTCTCACCACTGAACTGCATTTTTTTGGTTAGGATTCAATGCTCAAGTCTGTCAAGATCCTTCTGGATCTTGGGCTTACCTTCTAAAGTGTTAGCTATTCCCCACCAGCTTGATATTGTCTGCAGGTTTAATGAATATTCCTTCTACCTCCCATTTAAATCATTGATGAAGATGTTGAGGACTACTGGACCTAAGACAGAACCTTGAGGGAACCCACTGCATGCTTCCCTCCATGCAGATGCAGTTCCACATCTTTCAGGTCATGTTTTTCTGTGGGTAGCCAAAATGGACATAAGAGCAGAAGGGCTCCCAAGAGAACTCTGTGTTCTGTGCAATGTGTGGCTAGCCGTAAGGAAGTGCTTGCCCAATACCCTATGCTGGCCTATGCAAGGCTGGGTGGAGCTGGGAACTCATGTTGCCTGGCCCATGGGGTGAGCGACATCATGAGTAAATTAGGTAATTCACAGATCTGTGGGATGACTTGTCATTGCCAGCTGCAACGGAAGCAACTGATTCTGCCCTTAATGAAGCATCTCCTCCCCTGTAATGTCCTGGAGCAGAACCTGGGACAGAGAGACGGAAGGCACCTGTCCTGTCCTGCTCAGGAGAAGCAGCCTCTGATTCACTGGGATCTCTGATTCGAGAGCCTAGCTTTCTGTCCCAGGGAGGAAGCAGGACCTGATGTCTCTTCCCGAACATCTGATCCTGCCTGAGTGCAAATTTAAGACCAGACCTTTTTGTTTTAAAATCAAATACAATAAAAAAATAACCAGAGCGGAATGAAGGTGATGTGGCCAAGAATTCATATCAGAAAGCCTGTCACTCAAATCTGGCTTCCTTCTGGGCCAGGGATGCGGGGGGCAAGAACCCTTCTAGATGGGCAAAGACTTGAATAATATGCCACAAGGAAAACAAAATACTAGAACTAGGGGTAGCTGGAAGCACACGGTCTCATAACATGTACCTTTGCTATGAACTATTGATTATTAGGGGGTACCTTGCTCAATAGTAGTAACTGTGAGAGGGACCTCGGAGTCCTAGTGGACAATCCCTTAAATAGGAGCCAGCCGTGTGCTGCAGCAGCCAAAAAAGCCAACACAGTGCTGGGCTGCATTAACAGAGGGATAGAATCAAGATCACGTGAAATGTTAATGCCACTTTACAATGCCTTAGTAAGGCCACACTTGGAATACTGCATCCAGTTTTGGTCACCGTGATGTAAAAAAGATGCTGAGACTCTAGAAAGAGTGCAGAGAAGAGCAACAAAGAGGATTAGGGGACTGGAGGCTAAAGCATATAAGGAACGGTTGCTGGAATTGGGTATGTCTAGTTTAACGAAGAGAAGGACGAAGGGGGACATGATAGCAGCGTTCCAGTATCTCAGGGGCTGCCCCAAAGAAGAGGGAGTCAAGCTATTCTCCAAGGCGCCTGAAGGCAGGACGAGAAGCAACGGGTGGAAACTGATCAAGGAGAGAAGCAACTTAGAACTAAGGAGAAACTTCCTGACAGTTAGAACAATTAACCAGTGGAACAACCTGCCTCCAGAAGCAGTGAATGCTCCAACACTGGAAGTTTTTAAGAAGAGACTGGACAGCCATTTGTCTGAAATGGTGAAAGGGTTCCTGCCTGAGCAGGGGGTTGGACTCGATGACCTCCAAGGTCCCTTCCAACTTTATTATTATTATTATAATATTATTATTAAGCATTTGTTAAAATTACCAGATTTTTTTCAGCTTGGTTTAGAAAACAAATTGGAAAATATTATTTTTATAGATGGAAAACAGCTGTGAAATGTTTTAAATTTTGTTTTTTTAGTCTAACTCAAATGAAAGGTGAAGTATTCTGCCTCTAAGAGACTAGTAACAGCTGAGCTGTTCATTGTCCATAGCTCAACAGGTCTATTCCTGAAAAGAATTAGATGGAGAACTCCTGGTAGGGGATTATGGCTGGTTGACCCTCTCTGAAGGCATCGAGAGACACTGCAGCTGAGAATGTACAACCTCCCTTGATCAAAGGGAGATCATCAGATCAACCACCTGCACTCTGGATGGCAGGTCCTTATGCATAAACTGAAGAAATGGAGTGTCTTAACTGTAGGTGAAGAGGAGATAAATCATGATCTAGTGGAGAGTGCAAATCAGCCATGGTTTTGGATTCCCTTCTCCTTCAACAACTGTAATGTGACTTTTGCATTTGAAAAGAAGAAACTAGGGCCACTGCCTTGTTCTTTAGTTCTGAATGCTTGAGTGTCTCTTGCATCTGAAAAGGTTAGCAGAAATTGCAGCCCCAATACAATCTGATGTCTGGAGCCATAAGCTTCCCCTCCTCTAAGTGGCAAAGCCTCCACAGTCAGCCCAAAGTTGATTTTGAGCTGTATTTTTAAAGTGAAAAAAGAGTAGGTTTTTAAGTCAATATTTGAAGAATAATCATATCACTATTTTCATTTGGTTTTAATTGAATTAAAATGGGACTATACCCAGTTTAGTTATTGTCTTGGATCTTTTTGCCCTGGACCAGCCTGTGGCAGTCCATTCAAAGTCCACTCCCAGTCTTGGATCCAGAAATGCCTCACCTTTCCTAGTCTTAGGTCCCCACAAGCACCCAACTCCAGCCTGAAATGCTGCCAAGCCAGGCCTTGTGCAGTGGGTAAAGGTTGACCTTAGGCTGGGGAGTGCCTTTGGTGCCACGGCAGCTACCGCTCTCTCTTGGCATAGCCTACCTCACAGGGATGTTGCTGGGATAAAATTATAAAGGGACATTTATTCAATCTGCCTTCAGATTGGGACAAAACTCTAATCCATCAATAAATAATTGAGCATCATTGTAAATAATTTTGCAAAATGATTTAAATCCCACAAAATTCTTAAAGTCTATGTCTGATCTTTTATGACATTGAACTGTAGATAGTAGTTTTCTTTTTACATGCAATACTAAACATATTGCCAAATCTCAACTTCACCCTAAAGAAATTTGTGGAATTTCTTACAGTATCCAGGACTACAATTTCTGCAATACTCTCCTGTGAGTATTTGCAGAACAAACTGGAGAGAAGAATCCCCCCAAAAGACAGCACTGGGGCATCATCATCAATGGCCACTGAACGAGAGCGAGGGGCTCCAATCCCAATTCTGAACAGGGACCAGGTAGACCCGGTCAGTATTTCCATCTTTAGGTAAGGGGACTGGAAGAGCAAAAATCTGAAATTATTATTGCTCTTTATTAAATGCATAGGCTACACAACTCCATCACAACCCTGAGCAGCAATCAGATGGACTTTCCTAGGGAGAGAGAAGAGGATCACGAGATTCCTAAACACCCCCCCAAAATTTGCCTCTAAACTCTTCCCAGACTTACCTGCAAGGCCTTGTAAGTGATGCCCCCACGCCAGAGTCTCTGCGCTCCCTCATTTCGGGATCCTCAGTCTCATTCAGGGAGTTGGCCGTGCTCTCGAAGTCGCTGGTGGAAGTACCCATGTCAGAGATGGAGCGGTTCTCCAGATTGGTGGGCTCCTCGCCAGAGTCTGTGTCCTCCCTTTCCTCCACCCCAATAGTTTCATCTTCCGTGTCCAACTTAACTGCCTTTGACCAGAGCTCTATTTTCTGCTGGAGTCCCCAAACGTGCTGCAGGATGTCATCTAGGTTTTCATAGATCATTTCCTGGTCCAGATCAAAGAGATCGTCTCCACTGCCGAAGTCAGGAACATTATCATAGAGGCTGGTGCGGCTACCTGTGAAAGTGCTTGAAGGCCTCCTTGGCTGGTGTTCCAGGGCGTGAGGAGAGTTGCTCCCGCGGACACCACTGCTGACGCCAGTGCCGCAGGCCAAAGAACTCGAGGCTTTGGGGGTCGATTTCCAGTCTGCCAAACAGCTGCTCTCCAAAGGACACAAGCTTTCGAGGGAGAGGGATCTGGGGAAAGTGCCTGGCTTGTAATCCCCTGGGACGTGGAATAAATAATCTCTTTTAGATGCAATTTGGTGGTCCCACGTTCTGGCATCCCATTTCTTGTTCAGACTGGTTTCATAATCCTCTAAATAAATACTACCATACTTGGGCTCACGCGGCAGCCTGTCTTTAACAGATGCCGGAGCCTGGTTAGTCCAACCACCTGCTGAAGGGGTCTTAGTGCTGCAGAAAGAACGTGACTTTTCGTTTCCTCCCGCAACCTGCGTCCCAGAGGCAGGTGCCTTGGCGTCCTTTGGGGAGCTCCAACTAGGCGCGATGTGAGTTCCGTCCCTGTCTGGAGCTTTAGCAGAGTCCAATATCTCCTTGTCCTTCCTTCTCAGAGATTCGATTCTTTTGAGGAAACTCCGTGTCTGACAGTCCTTGGGTGTTTCCCTGCTGTTTCCATCTGAAGACTGGGCTGCTGGCGAATGGCTACTCAAGCCTCCACGAGGGTTGGGGGAGGTTGGAGAGTTCTGAGTGGAGGACGAATGGGGTGCCCCAGCCCCGAGAGCGGAGGCCCCACCGGTGCTGCTGGTGCTGTGGAGTGAAATCGCCTCCAAGTCAGCACTGAGGTCTGTGAGGACACTTTCCTGGCTGGAAAACCTCCTCATCGCGGAGCTGCTCTGCCAGCTGTCTCCATGGTGTTCCTGTGAGTCAGTTTGGGGCCACCTTTCGCTGTTGCTCTGAGAGGCCCATCGTCCACCAAGAGCGCAGAAGTCTTCATCATCCACGTCTTCATTCTAGATCAAGCACAGAAATCGGAGAGATTGGACAGCTGGGTGGGAAAAGACTGGCTCTAAAGGAACTGCGTCCTCTTTGCATCGTCAGAAGCATCATTTTATGACCTCCAATTGATCCAAAGAACTAATCCAGAAGAGTTTACACTGGATTGCCCAGCCCATCCCTTGCCATTCGTTCAAAGCCTAAGGGCAAGAGAACCTTCAGGGTCATTATGAAAAGTCCAGCTAAATTGGTGGTGCTTTTGAAAGGGCAAAAGACAGATATTTTAATTATTTATATCCATTTTAGTTCTCTTCTCATAAAAGTGATCTCAAAACTTCTGGATCATAATTTAGAACAAAGACAGATGTTGGATGTTCATGTACTTTTCTGGCAACATGGAGACTACAAAACTACAAATTAAAAATACAGAAATCTTGTGAGAATTTGGCAATCCTCAAATTGGGAGAGGTGTCTAGAAAGATGGTTGATCCCCGATTGTGCTTCAAACTAAAAAACTCACAAGGTCCCTTCCAATCCTGTTATTCTATGTTCTGTTCCCTTCTGTCTCTTGCTTTGATGGTTTTGTTCTCACTGGTTGCTCCTTTTTCTAGATGAATTTTATGTTAGCTCAAGCTTTCTGGCTTCTTTTGACTTGACAATTTCATTAACTGTTTGCCACACTTGCTGTATTTACATAACCCGCTTAACCTGGATAGTTAAAGACAAAGCTAAAATTCATTTGAATATTAAACTTGGTTAGCACTAACTTTAATTAGAGGGGATTTGAGTCATGGTCCCCACCATGTTTGTTTCAATGTGCTGTAGTATGCAATCTCGGGAAATTGGTTGATTCAGGCAAAATTAAGTAAAAAATGTGTACAGAGAACTATATTTGCTAGTGAAAAGGCATGATGTAAGTTATCTAAGTAACTACAGCTTTAGTTTCTGCATCTGAGGTCCAGCGCCCCCCACAGGGCCTGTCCATTCTCCACCCCGGGACCTCTTTCCCAGGGTCTCTAAGAACTGAGGCCCGGGACTGTCCACTGCGCTCCCCAGGGGATCCCCTAGGGAAGCCTTCGCGTCAGCTCAAAGGGCATCTGGACAGGACCCGGGGGGGGGGGGCAGCCAGGGGATGGTGGTGGCAAGGATCAGCCAGCCGGCTCTCCTCTGGACTAGACCTGGGTCCAACTTTTACCAGGATATGGAGGGCATTCTCAGCCCCAGCCCAGCCTTTGCACCCCATGCTGCATCTTACCTGTTTCTGCTGAAAGTGGACTTCCAGCTTCATCGAGTTCAGAGTCATGAGCCTCCTGCAAGGCAAAACAGAGATCCGTTTTGCTCGGCTGGTTCAGCCCCAGCGGCATTCGTGAGGTTGGTCATGCTATTTAAAAACAAGCAGCCCTTGTTTTAGGCCATTGTCACTTGACACGCAAACAGCTGGTGATCAAGGAAGCATGCAAGGCTCTACACACACAATCACACACACACTTGAGAGAAGCAGGCTCATCCCCACGGGGTGGGCTGGATTTATGCCCCTCCCCCCACAAGGAGATGCCAGCTCATGGGCCTCTCGCCCTCCAGAGCCAGAAGCTTCAAGGCACTCAAAGGCCTCACTGCCTGGTCTTTTCATCTTGGGCCAGCAAAGGCTTTCGAAGCCCCACGGGAGAGCAGGCGGCGGCGGTCCTTCCCAGCCAGCGGAAAGGAAAGCATCACTTCTGAGTGCATTTGGGCTGCAGGCCCCGATTCCACCTCTGTTTTCATGGGGAAAAGCCCCAGGACTTGATCAAACCCTTTGCCTCCAGGTCCACTCACCTTACCTTTATGATTTATATTTTAAATTATGGCCTCGCTTTTTGCTCTAATCAAATCCAATCAAAATCAATATTAACCTGGAATAAGAAAACAACGGGCGGAAAACAACAAATCAGGAAAAGCAACCACCATCATTCTAACTATCATCGTTTTCCTCGGGGGTCAAAATTAATCCAGACTTTCTAGAAAGCTTCCTGGTCAGCTTGCAAAAGGAAGGAGAGGCTCGACAGTGGAGGGAGCACTCAGGCTGGGCCAGAATCGAGAGGCTCTGCTGGAACCACCTCAGGATGACTGAGTGGACCACAAAGCCATTCTTTAAGTTAGCAGATTTTAGGTATGGCCAGTTCAAAATTTGCTGCGATAGAATGTACTGTTTGGGCTAACTTGAGAGTACAAACAAACAGATAAACACAGTGAGAGTTTTAGTAGCACATACATGCAAACATTTATTCTAAAAATCAATAGTGTTTCTGTGAACTTGCCACTAGAATGTCCACAGTACTGGAAAAATAGAGCAAAGACATTAGCGCTCTGGCCCCAAAATGCCTGGCGCACGGCCAGAGCTGGGAAACTGACCTCACCCTTCAGCTGCATTCTGGTCAAGGTTAAAGCCTTCTCAAATTTACAGTCTGAGTTTGTATCTTATACCACCCAGGGGAACTATAATTGTTTTATGCCAGAGTAATACGTTAACGAGAGGGAAGAATACTAAAGGGATATTATTAATATTCGGTTTCATTGTTGTTGTCTTCTTCTTAACCAGCTTATTGTACTGTTTATGGTTACTGTATTTTTGTTTAGAATTTTTTTAAAGGAATCATCAGCAAATCTGCTACGTGCTAACACTGAACCCCACCGTATGAATAATGAGCCCCAGCAGACACCAATCTTTATCACCAGAAATTTGCTAATGTATTTCAAAGGTAGTCCCATCCAGAGTGCCACCCAGAGATTGGAAAGGATGGGACCCAGGCATCTTTTCCCAGGAAAAAGGAGCAGGTGGATTGATCTTCACACGGAAGACACTTTTTCATCAGACTGACGCTAAGTGGCTGAGCAATCTTTCAGTCCTCAGCATATCCAGGAACATATTTCTGTGCTTCAGGGAAAGCCAGGAGAACCATGGGTGATTTCCCCGTTCCTTTTTCTTTGCAAATCTTTCAACAGGGCCTTCACCAAGCCAATTCTCTTCTCAGTGCACGAGTCCAAACTAAAGCACCCCAGATAGATGGATGTCCTGCCCCCCCCAGGGAATCCCACCGCTCTTTCCAAAGTCATTATGCTGCCTGCACTTTGGGTGATATACAGAACAAGACCTGGCCTTCATCTCCGGAGAGCTTCCTCAGGCACTGAAACAGGACTATCAGAGCCTCCAGGTACACATACCCAGTTTCCTCAGTCTTCCGTTGCAAGACTTAAATTGCTAGTTTGCTCATCCCCCCTGCAACCTTTTGTTGCATCTGTTCCAGTTTCTGAATTTTGTTTGTCTGGTGCCCCCAACAGGACTCAGCGTTTAAAAGGGGGTGTAGTTAAAGCAGAACAAAGTGGAGCAATTACATCCCGTATTTGGGGCAACCTTCAACTGCACTGGTCTTGTCTGCAGCCCCACTGCACTGTTGACATTCTACTTGTGATCAACTTCAAGTCCAAGATCCTTTCTGGAAATGTGATTGCCAGATAGGGAATCCAGGATTCTACACCTTTATATTTGACCGTTCACATTTGTCTTTGACAAATTTCATTGCTACTTTCACTCAAATGCACTACACTCTCAAAAGCACCTTGAAGTTTTTGATTCAATCTTTTTTATTTTTCATCTTATTCTTAAAACCACCCAACATCCTCCAGAAAAATAAGTCTGCATATGCACAAACCTTTTGGCAAATGATCACTGAAAGAAGGGTTTTTCTCGTCTCTCCCTAAACACATGCTAATAGAATATAACTATTGGCAAAGTAGAACATTGATTTGACTTTCAAAGCAACAGTCTAGAGAAAGCAAAAGCAACGTGCCAGAGCAGCAGGAACAGAAGAAGGAAACTCAAGAAGGGAGACATTAGTCCTGTCCTTAGAACAGGATCTAGATCAGAAGTAGTAAAATTCCATGATCAGATGGTGTGGTTCTTCGTGTTGAATTTTGCCCCTTGGCTGTGACTGTCTGGCTCAGAGCAAGGAGTGAAGCTCCTCCAACAGAAGCCAAGACCCCCTTCACCTTCTCTCTTGGCTGCAATGTGGGGCAGGGTGATAGAATTTCTTGAGGAAGCCAATAATCCAAAAGGAAGCAGGAGAAAAACAAGGACGGTCTTCCTGTGGATGCTACAGTGAAGCTAACGGAACACAGAACACAGAATACAGAACACAGAATAATAGGATTGGAAGGGACCTTGATACACAGGATCATAGAAAGAATAACAGAACAGAATAATAGAGTTGGAAGGAACCCCTGAGGTTCTCCAGTCCAACCTCCCACCCAAGTAGGAGATCCTATACCAGTGGTGGCGAACCTATGGCACGGGTGCCAGAGGCGGCACTCAGAGCCCTCTCTGTGGGCACGTGCGCTGTCGCCCCAGTCCTAGGCCTTCAGCTGGGTTTTATAAAACCTTTTAGCTTTAGGCCTCCGCCGCCATGTACAAAAAAAAAAAAAAGGTTCAGTCAATCAATCAATTTCAACTTCTCGCAGGGGAAAAAAAAAAGATCTTGCAAAGTTGGAATTGATTGAACTTTTTAGTCCCACCCAGTCTGCCATTACCACCGCAGCCACGTCCACCCAATGGGCCACACCCAGCCAATGGGCCACACCCACCCGGCACCCGACGATGCATAAGTGGGTTTTGGGTTGCAGTTTGGGCACTCGGTCTCTAAAAGGTTCACCATCATTGTCCTATACCATTGTAGACAAAAGGAGGTCAGTCTCTTTCACTGGTCTACTAGTTTAGTCACTTTGTCAAAGAATGAAATAAGCTTTTTTTGACATGATTTGATTTGACAAACCCATTTTGGTTTCTGGTTGCTTGTAAGTGTTTGCAGATCTGTTGCTTGATTACCTTTTTCAGTATCTTCCCAGATATTGATGTCAGGCTGACTGGTCTGTAGTTTCCCGGATCCATTTCCCCCCCTTTTTTTGAAGATAGGAACGACATCCGCTCTTTTTCAGTCCCCTGATAGTTTCCTGTTATTCCAGGATTTTTGAAAAATATTGTTCAGTGATTCTGAGTGCATGTCTGCCAATTCCTTCAGAACTCTGGGATGTAATCCATCTGGTCCTGGAGGTTTGAAATTGTCTAGAGTGGATAGTGTTGTCTTACTGTAAGGTCCTGCCTCAGCTATCTACTCAGGAAAGTGTGACTCTTGAAACAAGTGTTATTCCAAAAGTATCTTTTACTGAGAGAAAGTGATTGCAGAGAAGCCCGGCGTAATCTGAAGTTCCCGTGCGAAACATTAAGCTAATTTCCCATTGTTCCAACCCCACTCCAATGCCCCAGTGCGTCAGGAGCCAATCCGCTGGCCTGAAGGTATTTTGAAAACTCCGAGATGAGAAGGTAATAACAAGTCATTCTCTGGCGCTGTGACCTTGGTAACAGGTGGGAACTGACTGATGGCCCAGTCCCCCCTCCCTGATTCCCATGCAGATACATCAAAGTGAAAGCAATAACTGTTTTGATCCCCAAGTATCCATCCCTCCTCCCCTCTGAATGGCAGCGTTCTGATAAGGACCTGACACCTACCATTTTCTTGCCTATTTTAACTTGTATTCCTAGTCTGTCTTTAACAGTTCTGTTTTGGGTAGGTAGGGTAGGTAGATGCAAATAATGAATTAAGTAGCTCTGCTTTCTCCCTGCTGCCTGTCACTTCCCTGCCATCTTCTCCCATTAGTGGACCAATTGTTTCCTTGAGTTTTTTTGTTTTTTATATGTTGAAAGAAACTTTTATTAGTATTTTGACATTTGTTTTAAGTCTTAGTTCATTCTGAGCCTTAAGCTTTCCTGATTTCCTCTTTGCAGATTCAGCTACCTGCTAATATTCTGCCTTAGATATGCGTCCCTCTTTCCATTTTTTGTACTTGTCCTTTTCGTTTTTCAGTTTATCAGAGAGTTCTTTATGTAACCATGCTGGTTTCTTCTTGGATTTCTTATTTTTCTTTTTCAGCATTATTGTGGTAGACTGGAGTTGCATAATCACATTTTTCAAAATTTCCCAAGCTTCTTGAATTGTTTGCCCCTTTAAGACTATCATCCATGGAATCCTTTGCAAGCTCTCTCTAAGATTGTTGAAATCAGTTCTTTTAAAGTTTAAGACACTGGCTGGATTATGTTCTATTGCTTGTGTCTGCATTATATTGAATTTCAATATGACGTGGTCAGTCTCTCCAAAATTTGTGCAACTTCAACCCCCTCTATTTCTTCTCTGTTAGTAAGAATTAAGTCCTGTATAACTGACCTTCTAGTTCCCTCCTCTACCTTTTGGATGACAAAAATTGTCAGCTAGGCTTGTC